CATCATCATCATCATCATCATCATCATCATCATCATCATCATCATCACACCGGTGCAAAGATGCAGGTGATGCAACTTTTGTCACACACCTGCATACATATTTTGTTATGTTGTTTTTAATAGATGCAGGTGTTTGGATACAGGTCAGGTGTCGTCGAACATTGAGGTGACAGTTGTCAAAGTGTGTAGCTTTGGTGGAAGGTGCTGAGGTGTGTAACTGTCGGCCGATGTGTGTAACAGTTGCCAAATTGAGGTGCAATGTGTCAAAGTGTAAGTGTCGTCGACAGTCGTGGTTGAAGTTGTCGAAGTGTGTAATTAACTGTCGTCGAAACCTGCGCGAACATATACTGTAGTGCGGGATACGGGAAGTAGCTTCTGGAAGGGCGAGCTCACAACTGGCAAGTTTGTAGTGCAAATGTAGGGCGGTAAGCCGCTGAGGGAGCTTGGCCTCTCAACTGGCAACTTTGTAGTATACAAATTGCAGTCGTTACGGGAAGCTAAGAGGCTGGGAACTTTGGCGCCTCACGACTGGCCACTTACTTTGTAATTAGTGCAAATATAGTGCCGGAAGAGGCTTCTGGAGGCCACTTTTGTAGTACACATGTAGTTTGGGAAGTGGCTTCTTGGAGCTCTGGCTGCCACAGTGTGGCGAAATCCATGGCGTCGCTGTGCCGGCGTTCGCAGCCTCGCCTCTGTGGATTGGCTCCGTGGCTCCGTGCCGTTGGGGAGCAACGCATGGCTCGGCATGTCGCTGGTGAGCAGGATGGATGGCTTCCCTCCCAGAGTGTCCTACAAAAATGTCCACCAGGAAGAATGTCTTACAAGACTGTCCCACAAGTTTGCCCTACAGTGTTCACAACTGTCTCGCAAATGTCAAGCACGAGTGTCCTACGAGAGTGCCCCACAAGAATGATTCACGGGTGTCCCACAACACTGTCCTACAAGAGTGTCTTTGCAAGAGTGTTGTACATGAGTGTCCCACAGGTATTTCTTGAGACTATCACATCTATATAGATTTTATTTTTGCATCAGCGCAGTTGTGGTCATCACCATTGCTACCACAATCATAATCATGGCTGTCATCAATGTCAATATCAGTATCATTATCATGATTACCTTGTGTCAGCTCCTACAGTCGTTTGGGATGGAATCCAGTGACTTCTGCAGCCAATTCTAATATACGTTCACCTCCTTGCCAGATTTTGTCGGCAGGTATGGGCTATGTAGGCGCAGAATTGAAAGAGGATGCGTCGGTGGTGGAGTTACTCAACCAGCAATTTGGAGATGTAACGCCACCAATGCATGTCCCCAAGGAAGGATCTCCTAATTACATTATATATAATTTTGGACACGATTTCACTGGTGAGAAAGATTCCCCGCTTTCAGCCATTGCCGCATTTGGCAGCACCACATTTGGACAGCAAAGGGAAAACTTCTGCAGACCATTCTTTTCGACCCCACCCCGAGGGTCAGCCGGCGCTCCAGGCTAGAGCTGCTCCGGAGTGTGATGTGTGGAGTCGCAGAGCCCGCGGAGAGCTCTGGAAGGTTAGGTGGCGAGCATCCTCATTTTCAACATCTTCAGCCACCTTTTTCGCCTTGAACCGAATTGTGATTTGTTGGCACCGTTTGGAATACCAGTGGTGTCTCCTAAGCAGCTGTCAGCAAATCCACATGTTTTTGCAGGTCCAGCGCGTCCAGCGCTTTCGGCTTCCGCCGCGACCGCCGAGCACTGTGTGCAGCGCTGCATGCCGCAGATCCAGCGCTTGCACCGCCGCCGCAAGCAACTCCAGACATCGGGATGGCAGAGTTGGCTAGAGACTATGTTCCTTGATTAATGTGGCAATTTTCCTAGGCAGGCCTACAACTGCTCAAAGTAGCTCCAGAATTTTAGGGAAATGCTGTGCTGCAACCTGGGTCGTTTTTTGAAGGTCCAGCATGCGTTTTGCGACACATGTGCTGAACGTGCAGGTCCAGCATTTGCGCACCCAACAGGGAGCAGTGCCATCAGCGTGGCGAGGTCTCAATTGGACGGTCCCGTTGAGAAGATTCAAAGACAAGGATCGGCAAATCCTATCTCCTTCATTCGTTGTCCGCCTCGATGATGAGCCTGCTGACTTCAAGGCCTGGTGCCCTTTTTTAATGTAGTTACTCCTTGACTGACCATCCGATGTGTTTTGTTACTATTTGGTATGTTGCACAGACACCAAACAATTTTGGGTTTTGAGGGGGGGTGACTCCCGAGAAGACCTGGGAGAGCCTCTGAACAATCCGTACTGTGTAACATTGTGTAACCATTTTATACCATCTTATATCAATTTTCTAGACAACAAATGATAACACATCGTTGCATGAACATGTCAAACGTCATCCACAATATACATACATATGGTACACCCCCGTTACACCCCCCAAAAACACCTACCTTTTAGACAATTTCATGTTTGGGGATGATAATCTATCAGTCAATTGAACGGGGAGTACCATATATATATATACATATATATAGTTGCACAGCCTCGTGCATCTCAGGTGAAGATTATATTTGAGAACAATAGGCAAACAAGAACATTATTCAAAAATCTGCAGAAATCTTAAGAAATCTTAAGGTTTTCCCGGAACCAAGAAACCAAGAACCAGATTGCACAGAAGTCTTGGGCAAAATCTTGGTTCTGATGAGAAGGTTTTCTTGGAACCAAGAACCAAGATTATCCCCCAAGACTTCTGTGCAATCTTGGTTCTTGGTTTCTTGGTTCCAGGGAAATCTTAAGAATTCTGCAGAACTTAATACCGGTCTTTAATGAGTTTGATAGTTGAAAACATTACAGTGATGACATTGACATTAGCAAATTATCTAGTTTAACATTGTGTATGGTGGAAGTGAAGGCATCAAATGTTTTCCAATAAGAGGTATAACTTAGTATATGGAAAGTGTCAAAGAAAGCTGTTGGAAGCAAACAATGAAATAAACATCATTTGTTGTAAAACCATTCATTCATTCATAAGGTGAATTATGACCAGATTGTTAATGAACTATGGGAAGCCGCTCTACAAAATTTCATAAGACAAATCACCTTTGGAATGCTAGAGCAATCACACAACACCGTACAGAAGAGTTACACTTTGAGGGAGGCATGCCATTACAAGAGGGAATTTGGAGGAAGGATTTATGCCATACAACAAGAAATAGAAAAAGAAGAAGAAACAAGCATGGGCAATACCTATTACATTTTAAACACCACCAATAGAAATAGATTAGTCAATGGGTTTAGATTTAAACGAATAGTTGCTACTTCAATATCATAACTGTTCAATGTATGAAGCATATACTAATAAACGTGTAGAAAATGATATTAAGGTCTATTCAGTGAAGAGTGATGCCTTCACGATCCATGAGAGGATTTAACTAGAGTGATGGGCAAACCAAATAGTTTTGTAAAATCATATCACACTGGAATATTGAACCTTGAAGAAGGCATAGGCAACTGGAGACTGACAAACAAACCAATCAATTTTCCAACCAACATATTTAGATATAATGACTTAGTTGCAATTCCAAGAATAGAAAATGAACCAATAGAGGTGGTGGATGAATGGGACACCCCCGCAATATGTAAGCGAATTGAAGAGTTGCGGGATCGGGCAAGAGTTACCATAGGCGAGTATGTTAAAAATATACATAACAATATTTTGTTTGTAGTGCCTCATAACCGGTTAAGTCAAGAAATAGAAGGTGACGCAACAACCTATAACATGTTTTTTAGAATTCCAGTTCATAAGGGGGATGAACTACCAGAGTTTCATCATAGCAATTTTGATGTCATCTTCTTTGATGAAATCTATATGACCAGTCTTTATATCTATAATAAGGTTTTAATTTTTACTGAGAAACATAAGGACAATAAAATCATCATAGGCGCCGGTGATACAAAACAGTCAAACCAATCAATGTTTTAACTAACGCCCAGTCAATGACCACAATATGGTCAAAAATGTGATGTTCAATTTGTGCCCTGAAATCTCACCAAATCATTGCAAATACCAGTGAAGTTGTCTAAAAGGTATGTTTTATCTTTTTTTTTGGTTGCGGGGGTGTAGCATATATCTATATATATATATATATGTATCGTTTTTCATTGTAAAACCATATTTTTTTTTTGACGACGTTGACCTCTCGCTACCCAGTTTTCATAGGTTGAGACTTTGCCACGCGACCCATATGTATGCCGTGGGAGGGAGGCGTTTTTCAGCCGCCATTGCAACGTTTCAAGCAGGTCATTCTCCGGTCTGAAAAGGACAGCAGCTTCGCCAGATCTGGCGGAAAAGGATTCGTGGAGGTGAAACTCGTCAGTGAGATTCCAAGCTGGACCGCGGGTGGGAGAACGAAAAACACCGGAGTGCAGAAGGAGTTTAATGTTGATTTGTGTTTGTTGCCATTGGTGACTGCACATGTTGCTCTCAAAGCTGGCATAGATGTATGATGAACTTAATTTATAAAATATGATTCATAACTTAACATAAACCTGCAATGTCAGCCGTTCTGGCCGACTTGCTCGATGCCGGTGTAACATGACGTTGCCACAGGAGCCGCTTGCGCCTGCAGCTGACACTTGGCGGGCTGCCTTGCGCGGTACAAGATCATGATTTTTCAGTTGGTGTTGTTGCTCGTTTTGGCCGCTCGGTCAATGTGGTTGCACTCATGACTTAAGATCCAAGCCTCCCCAGCGAGGACAATACCAGCATGGACAAACCACAAAGTGCATATAACCCAGGGATAGAACAAAAACTGAAAACTGCCCGGTGGTATCCTATGAGTAACCCATGATGTGACACACTCAATTTTCAGAAGTTGTTTCAGCGGTTGAGGGGAAGGTGGCTGCAAAGAAAGGCCAAAGATCTTCAACTTTACGGAGGCAAGGCGTGCCCGGCACAATGCACCTTTGCCATGTGTTGCCCGTGAAAAAGCATCGCCGTGAATTTCGCCGATTTCAAGTGAATGGGATGAAGACATGCCGTGACATACTGGGATGTGGTGGATTTGGGTTTTCAGATGGGGGAAGGTACATGCATTGCGGCGTAGAGTTGTCTTTTGACAGCCTGGAACGGTCATGGGGCAGGCAGCTATGATTTGTGTTCAGCCATGTGTGGGCCTTTATAGGCCCATTCAGCCGTTGTAGCTATACTCGCTCTAGAGCTCCTTAAGCCTCCACCCCTTCCTTCTCAGTGATAATGGAAGATTTTCGATGGCTAACAGATGCGTTTGTGTCTGAGCGACATACTTGCATCCTTTCCGAAAAGCAAACACCGCACCGGATCATGAAGGCCCTGACAGATTTGGTGGTAGTGCTTGAAGTTATGCCCGTGCCAGCTGCAAGTGAGATGCCCAAGAAGCCGCAGAGCATTTTTTTGTAGACTTCCTGACCGCTGGCTGCGATCAAGAAATGATGGGCGATCTCATGCCCTGACCACATTTTAATACGTTTGTTTTGAGGCCATGGCCAAGGGAGTTCTTTTTGTTCCATGTTGTTTCTTGGTACTTAGACAAAGCAAGTGGTTCTGAAGTAGGCTCATAGTTCGACCAGGTTGCATATATATATATATACAATTGCATACACATTGGCGTGCGATGGTGTGGTGTGCGTGGGTGTCAGTGGATTTGCAAGCCAAATCGACCGCAGCCATCGTAGTAGTTGCACATGTTCTACCATCAAGTGGCCAGAGGCACAGATGCAATTCTCCTGGATCACTCAAATTCGCAGCATAGTGTCGCCGTGCCAAAGGCAAGGCCGGCCATGACAAGGGCAGACTTGGCAGGAGTTTGGCATGGTTCAGGAACCACCTTGACTTGGCCTACACTGAATTTGCTCCAGACCAGCACCAAGTTGCTTTGGATCATCAGAGCTTCCACGTGACCAACTGCACAAATTCAGATCTCCGAGAAAAGTGGAGGACCAACACCTAATAGATACCAAAAACTGTCGTAATGGGTGTATAAGATTGTATAACATGGAGTCCCGTCAGTGTTTTTTGGGCTGTGGTGAAGGACGCTAGCCTCGCATTTGGTCACCAAAAACGCCTGTCAGACTTTCATGCCATCACAGACAGCGGGATTTGCCATCCTGCGGAGACGAATGTTCCCATTGCCTCATCGGTGAGGTTGCATACTTTGTCCACAAGTCGCCCTGTACATAGCCTGTGTCCATCGTGTCGGTTGTGCAAAAAGCAAGCAGGATGCTAGGACAAGAGCTGGCAAAGGCTTCAGTCAAATTATCAGGCCTCGCCCATTCACCCTTTGACTGCCAAGGTTGGACCACACAGCACCATCATGAACCATCATGAACCCATGGACATGGATCAGAGCTAGGTGCATTGTTCTTGACATGTGTGAACCTCGAATCTTTGTCAGCATGTAGCGCAGTGGTGAGGAACTTTAAACTGTGATCAAGGCAAGCCCTTTGTGACGGCTGGTTATTCTGTTCCTTGACCAGTTGGAGCCGTGCAATTCACTTTGAATCTGATTTGAAGGTCTTAGTCGTAGTCGTAGTCGCTGTTTTAGCTCTATGCAGATGTTGAGGCCAAGTGTGTATGTTTCGGAATCGGGAGGTGTCAGAAGGGACTTGGGAAAAAGAGGGTAAAAGCAAAATAGACGACGAACCAATTTAAAGTTCCTCATTCCATTGATCAAACCAATGATCAAACCAAAGCAAATTGGTTGGTTTCTCCGTGTTTCTCCTCATTCCAATACACATCGGTCACTTGCCTGTGCAGCCTCCATGAGGCTGCCGCGAAGGCATCCCGGGAACTGTGCAGTCAGGCGTGCGCCACCTGGCGTGTTTGGTATTTTCCTTCTTTGATTGGGATAGGAATGATATGACTATTGCTGGAAGATTGCACAACATAGACTGGAAGGCCCCGGCATTCATTAGCAGTGCTGGACACCAAAAGGTCTTCACTTGGGTTTCATTTAGTAGGCTTTGATATTCTGGCTAGCGTCTAGCATTGCCGGTGCCAGGATCCCCCATGGCTTGATTGATGGCCTCCCACATGTCACCTTTGTGAAACCGCTGGTTTGGACATCAAGACTTGGCGGAGACCCGGAGAAGTAATGAGCGAGGTGTCTCAATATGTCTCAATCACATGTTTGCCGGTCGAGACAGCCACCGACCAGACGCATGATGCCGCATGAATGTGTACCTGAGGAAGCCTGGTCGTATCAGGCTTCATGACTTTGCTTAAGTCTGGGGTGGCTTCGCTTTGCAGGCTGCCGTCAACCTGGAGGAGGTGTCAGTGGCTGGTTTGACTCCTTCAGATCCGTGCTGAATCGGGCTGACACGTTCTTGGCTCACTCACCCCCGTGCAGGAAAAGTCGGAATTCTCATTTCAATGCATGATGAGTCATGAACTATTTTGGTTAATGTGGCGTGCCCACATTACTGCCAAAGACCTCACATGTTTTGGCTCAAGATGTGAAACTCTGGAGTGCCCAGGGCGGTGCAGGTGTGGCACGGTACTTCCGAAGTCTTCACGGTAGTTGGAGCTTGGTTCGGGTGTTGGGAACCTAGGGATTGTGGGGGGGTTCCAAGTTGGGATTTTGCCCTGCAGACTTGAACAATGCTGAAAGGCTTGACGTCACACAGCCCCGTATGACACATAATCTTGAGCAATGTTTGAGAGACTTTTGCGCGTTTGAATTCTCGCGCGTGGGGAGGCGTTGCCGCAGCGGCATAGGTGCCATAATTAGTTGCAAAGAAGCGACTTGGTTGCAAACTGGAGCTTGGCTAAGAGCGATCAAGATAAGCAAGTCCTTGGATTGGTTAACATATGTTAACATTAACTTAGTTTTGTTTTATGGAGGCGCCGTGTGTCAATGTTTGTCCTCCTTTGTGCCGAAGCCACCAACGAACACTGAATTGAGTTGGGGACTAACAGCTTTGTTACCATTTTTGGGTGCAGTACTGATGATATCCTCTTATGCTTTTGTTAGTGCATTTCCAAGTCTTAGATCAGTGTGCTTTGATATGGCAGAATTAGTGTTAGTGACTATCAGTGGCATCAACCTGGCTTGCTCCAGGCCGCCCTTACCTTTGCCGATGTCTTTTGAGACCCGGCTGCACCAGATTCCTTGGCTTTAATAGGATTCCCTATTCTGGAGGTGATGCTCAAGCTGACGTGACCTGTGTGCTTTATGGCCCCCACATGTGGGATCCATAGAATGACTTTGGAACCAAAATCCTTCATGTCGGAAAAGCGGTGAGGAACACCCAAACCTGATGCCTCCTCTCGTAGGATAGCTGTATCCTGTGGCTTTAAGGTGATGCCAAGCCAATGCCCTAACTCATGCCGCGCGAGTATAGGGGGCATCTTGATTATTGTTAAAGGGACATCCCCAGGTCGAGACTTGCACGTAGTTAGCTAAGAAATGAAAGCAGCACTTAGTTATTTGAACTCTTTCCTAGAAAGCTCAAGCTATTTAATAAAAGTAAGGGTATGTTTGGAACTTGATGAACATTTACAAAGTGTTACCAACCAATGAAGAAAAACCCACGCAGATGCCCTTTTCCAATGTCCGCTTCCACATAAAGCATATTGGACAGACCTCCAATATGCGGGATCACAAGAACAACTCAAGAATGATCACACATGATCGTCATGGGGGCCGGCTTTTCTATTTTCATTGAGGTCGGTAGAGCAAGCAGCTTGAAGAGTGCATTAGGGGGATGTTGCCATGCAAGTGAGCCAAGCGACCGCTAGCGGCTCAGGAGGCCTATTTTCCACTGTGCTTCAGCTTCTTTGGTCTAGGAGAGGGGCTGACGATCAGCTCCACAGCTTGGGCGGTCAAGAACCGTCCGAGCCCGGGGCAGCCAGAGTGTCGACATGTAGCTGCCCCACTTGCCATGGTTTTCGGACACTGTGCATAGAAGACTCATCCTGTTGCAACTTTCTGGGCCCATGGTGCAGGACGCTACTAGGAGCAAAGGCTACTAGGAGCAAGGACGCTACGAACGGGGCTCCTGGCCTTACTACTAGGAGCAAGGACGCTACTAGGAGCTTCTCCCATTTCATGAGATGGCCGGTTTTTAAGGGAAGGGCGGTGACGTGAGGAGAGCGGCTACAACTGCGCACCTTGTCGCGGCGGATGTGTCAAGAGGTGGAGGACGCCGCGGGTTCGCGGGTTTCATGCAGACAGGTCGAGTTTGCTTCGCCCCACCTGATGTCTAGAATGCCATGAGATCAATGCACATGACTGCCCAATGTATAGGGCTGAATCACAAAAATGTGTCAAACAAGTACAGGAAGATGCCGATAAGGATGATTCATCATGTAATGCATATACTTAAGTTTCCCTATAGAAATCTAGGAGCCACATGATCAGTGCGAGCGCTTCTTCAAGGAAGCCCCCCCCCGGCCCCTCAGGTGGGGGAGCTTCCTTGAAGAAGCGTGAGCTATCCTGAGTCCTAGGTAGTAGCTACTTAAGCTACTAGCTACCTAGCTACTACCTCCCTCTACGGCCTGCCCCTTAAAAGAAAAACACACACAGGCATTGAAACATCTCTTGCATTGTAGATAGTTTGGCAGCTGCCCTGTGCTGCTTCCAGGCTGGCCGCTGCGATGTCTCCGGCGGAGCGGCGCTGGGCCGCGTGGCGGAGCGAGGCATGGCCGACCTATGCCAACGGCTGGTGCGTGACGCGGCGGAAGGTGACAAGATATGACAAGGGTCCCGTAGGGTTCTTCAATTTCCTGATGTGTTTTAATGGTTTAAATATGTTGTTCTCCCTTCGTGAGAGTCAGAACTTGCCAACCTGCTGTTGTTTGGGGCAAGTTGGGCTTGAGCCACTTCCGGAAGTTGCAGTGTGGCTATTTGCAAGGTATGGGCGCAAGCGTGAATGCTGCCAGCCGACAGGACCGGCAGAGGAACGCAGATTTACGTCCTGAAACACGCCAGGGGCATCATGAAACCCGAGGCACACCATGTCCACCAGTCCACCAGGGAAACGCTTCAGGACCTATCCCCGCATCTCGATGCCTGTTGTGGAAATCTGGATGCTTTGTTGGGCAGCCTTTCGAGGCCCCAATCCGAAAGATTCGAGCAGGATGACTTGACACCTTTGATGTACGCGGTCTTCGGAGGCTGCTCAGCAAGTCAAGGACTGATAAACTGGAGATGCCCCTTTCTGGACTGTTTGTGCGACAAGAATATCGCCTATTACAAAGATGCATCCGAGTCATGACAAGTCCCGACACTGAAACCTGCACGTTTCAGCAAACTGCTGCGAAAAGGGCTAGTGACTAGTTCCTAGTTGAGGCTTGATTTCAATTGAACCCTTCAACCCCTTGCAGGTGCTGTCCGTGGCCTGCCAGAATTGCCAATGACTAGGGATGATTGGGGGTTGCATCAACTTTTAGCAAGATTAGCAAGGTTTTGGCCGGGGGGATGGAATCGGCTATTCAGTGAATTATCCACTGCTAGGCCCCTTCAACCCTCCGCGGGTTCAACTCCCCCTCATGTGTTTGAATTGGCCTTCAAGACCAGTTCGTGGTGCTGAAGCTTCCATTGTCATGGATACTACCTCTCATTTTTTTGGGGCCCTTATGCTTCACGTCACTCGGACGCCTTCACACATTTGATAGCAACTGCCTTGGGAGCAGAATAGTTCTCATTGTATCGACGCTTCCCTCCATCTGACAGCATGAGTTTGGGGACAATGCTTCACATCCTCTCGCAATGCCCCAAAATGCGATAGCATCAGTTTTACAACCCTAACGCTTCACATATCGACGCCTGCACAGCTCTCATAACATCCTTCTTGGGACCCTGAATATGCGTCACACCATTGTGAGACACACACACACACTATCACACACACTTCGACAATTGTATTCAGTTAACTCAGTTCCCACGCTGGGAAGGAAGGTGACAGAACTGCATGGTGGAGAGTCCGAAAAACTTGTAGGTGTTTCAACAAGTTGTTGGTCAGTCTGCAGAAACGATCGGTCGGCGCGGCGCAGCTGCAAGACAACGTGGCAAAAGTGAAGGCGGCTGCACAGCGGCGTGAAAACCTGTTTAGGGGTGGTAGCATGCAAGAACCATGAAACAAAAAGTGGAGAAGTAGAGTCACAGCTTGTAGAAAAGTTTCTCGCAGGTACACACGGGTGATCAATCCGTGCTTCCCACTCCAAGGCATAGCTTCGTTGCACTGAGTTTGCCAAGGAGTGCTCAGTGCCCCTGCTAGTGAAACAAGTGGAAGGTGGATCGGCTGAAAGAAACCCTTTGTCCAGGGGTGGACACACACAGGTCGCCGTCGTCGGCGCTTTTTCAAAAAGCGGTGGCAGGCTTGGTGGTTGTGTCCTTTTTGACACACTCCGCCGCTTTGCGGCTCTCTGGCATAAAACGGAAAGTAGTCACCTAAAAAGCCTTAGAAACGCAAGAAAGGAAAGACAGAAAGAGCAGCGCTAAGAGGGCAAGAAAGAAAGATAGGTGTAGAAAAAGTGAATACTTAGCCCTTGACTGGGGTAGGGAAACGAGCCTGAAGAACAAACGACGGAAAGCGCAAGAAGGAAAGTGGGGGGG